AAATATATATAGTTTTTTTGTTATTATTTCGAAAATATGCAGGCTTCCTCACGATGTTTTCCTTCACCACGGAGACAGAATATATTGATAGAGATATGTTGATGACAGACTTATGGAGCCAGCGAAATCTCAAATTCTTAAGAGTTCCATCAAAATTATCAGATGCGTGTATATGACCGTTACAATCGAAATCGATCTTTACATCGTATTAACTAATCCAATAATTACCACTCAGAAACCTATGTGCATTCAATATATCTCAAATATAGCAATTTGCGATGAACGGAATAGCTTTATCTCATATTTCACTTTTAAAATGCTGAATTTAAATTATTTCCTCTAACCACAATGAAATCAAAGAATATCACTTTAACAATTCACCGACGTACAGTATTTTTTAGTAACACTTGTAAATAAATTATTTTAATTATCATTGTAAGATTTCGTTAAAAAAACTGGCCGAGTGCGAACTTGTGCACCGAGGGCTTACCTACACATTATACCGCCATAATGAAATTTGTACCATTTTTATTGGTTAGGTAGGTATCTTTTTTAATTTTAAGCGTATGTGTGAGTTTATGTGCTATAATGCTTTAGTTGCTATATTTATGTAGTGCAGATACGCTATGTACATGTAGTAGTAGTGTATATTTAGTCTATGTAGTACAGGGTGTGTATGTAGGGACCTTTATTTTTAAATTTTTCCTTTATTTGTGTTGTAAGACATTCCTTTTTGCCAAATGTCGTGATTCTAGGCCAACGGGAACAACCATATAGGTTTTCGACCCAAAACTTATAGGGTACATCCGGATTACCTTAAATTGTCAACTTTGGCTAAAACCAAGGTCTCACAGCAAAAGTAAAGGAAAAATTGGGAAAATAAAATAAGTTGAAAGTCAATGTTTTTGGTACTTACAAGTTTTCGCGAAGATCTAAATGTGCCCATTTCTTTAAATAGAGACGACGGTTTTCTGGTGTTGGTCAAAGATTGCAAAACGTTTGAAAAAAATCTTATTTATATATTGCAAAGATTTAAAATAGAAATTTCGAAATTTATGAGCAAGTATTTTAAAGGTTAAATAAAGATTTTCTTTTATGCGGATGTGAAAATATGGAATCTTCCGTGTCTTCTATTTGCTTGTATGGAAGTCAGCAATTTGAAACTTATATGTAAGCCATTCAAATATCCGCGATCACTTTTGTATAACTTTTGCATATCACACAAAATCTTTGTAGAATTGTACGATAATGATTCTTCTTTATAATGCTTGTGCAATGTTGCATTTTTGACCCACTGTGTTGAAAAATACGTCCAGGCGGTATTGCGTGGCTTTCTACTGGCATATTATTATTAATCACTACTTATCCTTACTAATATTATAAACGCGAAAGCTTGTATGTATGGATGGATGTTTGTTACTCACACGCAAAAACTACTGAATTGATTTTAATTAAACTTTACCTTAAATAGTTTATACATCAAAATAACACATAGGCTGTAATTTATAAAGATATTGTGTGAATTGTCCAAAATATAGGTAATGATAAGTGCCAACTAAGCAGGAAAAAATTGAGCCATCTGCGAGATATTCTGGTGTAAAATAAAAAACTCATCGTTAATTCCCTATGGCCCCGCGGGCGAAGCCGCGGATTAACAGCTAATAATGTTATAAATGTAAATGTAAGTTAGCTTGCTACGCCTTCACGCCTAAACTACTGAACCGATTATATTGAAACTTTGTACACATATTCTTAGAGTTATTAAAAAGGATATAGGATTCTTTTTATAAGAATATATATACTTAGACCTACAGCGCGAGCCGCGGGCGCAAAATGCGGTTACACTTTCCTAAATGAAACTGTTCTTTACGGATTCATCGCGTTTATTCTGAAATGTGGTCTGTCCCGTGACCATGAGCACTGAAAAGGTTTCAAAATGTCGGGAACTAAACATTAAAGCTATAAATCCTTAAAAAAATTGTAGATACTTTCAGACATATATCAGCGATCGTCTGAATTTTCTTTGAAGTGAACATTTTTAGTAATGAAATTACTGTATTAATTAAACAATTACCTATTGTTTTTTTTTATTTCATTTTCTTCTTTGCCATGATTTCATTTGTAGAACTTGACACAATGATTGATTCACATTTTATGTTAATGAACCTGTTACCAAAATTTATTTATACGATATTGGCGATACCATCCTATCCGTTATTAGTTTAATTTGATTCGTAATATTTTAAATCGAGCAAGTTTTTGTGTGTATTAATTAACATATTCAGTAATGTAGTATGTATAGCAACTACTATTTATTGCAGTATGGCAATACTACTTTATATCTAGATGTCAAAATTCAAAAACATACCAATATCTCTGCTCTGAACGTACAAGCACATTCTGCCGATCAAGCTATTGGAACAGGAAACATGAAATTTCCGATTGAGCTCTAAAGATAAATGGACCTCTCACATTCATATCCGATACCGATTTGTCAGTGAAATTAGATGAAAAGCGAGTTAAAACTAAACTAAAAAGTTGTAAAAACTTTTAATAAAAGAACTTAATAAGTATATTTTTAATATTGTATTTTATCTATCACTTATTGTGTCCTAAAAATTTCTGATTAATACAGCAATTTTTCGGACTACCACAATGAATACATTTTCTTATATATTTATAATATAAAAGCTTTTCGCCCGCGGCTTCCCTCGCGTTGAAGCCCTTAAATAAGTATCTATCCCTTTTAAGAACCCTTTATAACCCTATTCCAATTACAAAATAGCCTATGTTCTTTCTCAGGCTCTAGACTATCTGTGTAACAAATTTCATTTAAATCGGTTCAGTAGTTTTGGCGTGAAAGCGAGACAGACAGACAGAGTTACTTTCGCATTAATAATATTATTAGTATATTAGTATAATTAGTATGGGTTCTAATAATATTTTTGTATATTCATTTTTAAATTTAATGTAAAGATGTGTAGGTGCAGGTGTGTTATTTAAATATAAGTAAAGTAAAGTAACATCCTATACATAATTATCTCACTGCTGGGCAAAGGCCCCCTCTGTACAGGGCGTATTCGGCCATAGACCCAATGCGGATTGGCGGACTTCACATATCTCCATTCACGATGTTTTCCTTCACCGCTGAGCACGTGATAAGTCAGCACTTTTCATCATTCTTTCTATGACCACAGGCTGCTCGAGTACTTACATTAAATTAAAGACGAGGTCCGGACGCTCAGCCATCATGGCTGATTTAAATATAAAGTTACATAATATATAAACATATCTTTGTTGTCTAAGAAACTAAACTCCGAGGTCGTTAGCGAAGCATTTTCTCAAAGCTAGCTATCAAATTGCAAATTATAGAAACACGATCACAAAGGAAATCTTCGACCTTGCAAAATAATGTTGAAACTTGTGAAGGTATAGAAAATGACAAAGTAACGAGCTTAAGTTTAATTTCTATTTTTATTATAACTAGGTAGACAAGGTTATCGATTCCATAGAGAGGCTTTCGCAAAAAGATTTTATAGTTATTTTAACACGTTAACCTTTTAACACGTTGTAAATATGATTTTATCTCCAATTTCAATATCCATGTCTACTGCATGCGTTATACAAACAAAACTATATCAATGCTAGCGGACCGGACAAACGTTGTCCTGTACACGCGACTTAAATCAACAACTTCGAATTAAAAAAAAATGCAGTGGACCTAATTGGGAATCTAAACCATTCTAGCATCGACCTGAAGACACAAAAAAGAAATTCATTAAAATCGGTCCAGCCGTTTAGGAGGAGTTCAGTGACATACACACGTACAGTAGAATGATACATATAAAGATATTACATTTAATATTTAAATTCAAAACACATCATAAAATCCACAGAATTTCATTTCACACCATCTGAAGTTTCAATCAAATCAGTTATAACGTTACAATTTTCCGATTACCAAAACCGTGATGCGCCATTTTCGATCGCTTTACCTTGACTCTGGCACATTAGCTGACGCCGCATAAGGGTATCATGTTATCTAACTTGCCAACTGAGCTGCAGAGCTTTTGGGTCATGTGTAATATAATTTAATGTTGCGGCATTCCAAGCCCACCTATTATTATCACGGAAACAGCATATCAATGTCTAAAATCCATCTCTATTGAGTCTTAGATGGGAATTGTACCTTTAATATGTAAAAATTACTGCATTACAGTAATTAAAACCACTAAATATTAAAATTTTGAAGTGCCAGTATTTTTGGAATAACAATATCTTTCATTTAATCGCTGTATTTAGCGGCCTTGAAGTGTCCACCGTTAATTTTGCCGACGTTGCCGGTACCAAAGTTTCCGCTATGCCGTGATCTTGTAATTGATCTGCAGAACAGGCTAGGTACAGCTAGCACAACCGTATTGCTAAAGTATTTTGTTGATAGCAAAAATTAAGCGTGCCCCGCAAACGTACCAAAGGTCCAGACTAGATAAAGGTCGTTAACATTTTATCAGTTGGCACAATTTGGCTCGCACGTTGAATTTACAAGCAGGTTTCTTATTTCTGCGAGATCAGATCGACTTTGGCTCACACTGCGGCGTGCCGATGCATCAGACCGGATCTGCGTTGCAGTTGTCCACCTACTTCCATGCCGGCAAACGGCCACTTCCCGTCATGTGAATATGTGATGCAATATAGTTTCAGTGGCGAAGCGGCGGCGGGGAGGCGGTAGAGTGCCATGTAAAGTATTAATTCTTTTTTTTTTACTCTTACATTCCCCTACAGCTACAGTGTATCGTAATCTTATGCATCTTACCTTTAATAGTTCTTTGGAGTTCCTGTGCTGTCTATTAACTTATCTAGTGTATCGGTAAATTTTTTCATTTTCGCCATCAATTAATGCGCCTCAATATAATCTAATGCGTTAACATGTGGCTAATAGAGCCACAGTAAGTTTGGATTGAAATTCTGAAACAAATTGAAAAATAAACTCGGAAGTCCAAATGGGGCATGGAAAGCGAATGTTTCGCCGGGCGTCGCAAACGAGGGGTTGGTTGGCGTGCGGCGTGCAGCGGCGTGGCGCGCGCGTGGCGTCGCGCGGGGCGGACGCGGGGCGGGCGCGTCGCTCGACGGCGGCGCGGGCGGGCTGGGCCGGTGCAGTGGTTGGCGCGTGGTGTCGATACGAGTGCGACGGCGGCGGGGGGCGCCCGGGGCCCGGGTGCCGGGGCGGGCGGACGCACGCGCCAGTCTTCTGCCACCGCGCTCCGGCGACACACGCTCCACACAGAACTACGCAATCGTCACGCGGCTTTCGACGAGAGCATGACTCGCCGCTCCCGATGAGGCGCAACCGTACGCGCAGCGTTCACGTTACGTAAATACAACGCCCGGCGGCCGCAGAGCTCACACGTCGCGACTATATCCCACGGCTTAGACGCCAGTTCGCAAGGAGCCCGCGATCCGGAGCCGGTCTGATCCATTGGGGCGCGCAACGCAAGCGTTTGCGCGGTAACGGTCGGGCGTGCCGCAGTGTTCGTGATGCGACCGCTGCGCCGCGCACTGTGAGCCAATTATGAGAGACGGCGCGGGCGCGCGCTACTCGAGCGGCGCGTGCAGCGGGCACGAGCGCGAGCGCGGCGTGATGCGCGAGTAAGGTGGCGGGCGCAGAGCGCGCCACGAGCCGGCTGGGGGGCGCCGCGGGCCAGCCGTACTATCCGCCGCGTCCCCGCTGCAGCGCCCCGACCCGATGACACATTGACGTTGAGCAGCCACCATTGCTCGTATAGAGTTGGTCGAGAAATGGGGGCTGACGCCTGTCCTCAGGCCGAGGCAGGAATGCCCCCGGGCCCAGGAAGAAGGCGAAGAGCAAAGGTATGTATTTTAGGAGGTCGACGGGCACGGCCAGGATGCCTCGCTTGCGTCACGGGATGCCGTGCGCGTGGCGGGGGACGGCACACGCCGCCCGAGGTGCGAACGCTGCACGCGCATCTCCTGTTTGTCGCCGTCACACATGTATATCGACGTTGTTATGGAATATTTCGACATGTGTTGGTGAGTGCGGTGCGCTGCGGTTGGCCGCCACTAACTCCCGCTCTCTCACTAACTGCTTGCTGGAATATTCTTGGCGATTTTTTTCTGTCACCTTTTCATGTTCAGTACTTTATGCGTTTCAGCATGCAGCGTTTTTGTCTTTGTTGGTAAATATTGTCTTTTCAACGACGACGAAATTCAGCTGATGTTTGCTGATCCCTCCGTTGCAAAAATGCTATTTTGAAATTCTTCTTCTTTAATACCCTGTCCCTCCACGAAATGCTACTAAATGCTGCTAATTGATAAGACACCGTGTCTCGTTTGGTTTGCTGATATCCGTTTGGAGCTGTAAAAATATCGATGATCAGCGTCGTAAAGCGTTACGCGCTGGAAACCGTATGTCAGGCACACTTCGAGGTGATTACGCCCGGAATATAGCTCTCAATCTGGACTAATAAAAATATTATAACGGCCCAGATGAGTCACGAACACGCTCGTAATTGAATAATTTTAATAAAAAACTCATCGGAAATAGTTTGTAGTACGCACTATCATTGATTTAAAATAATGGTGTTTTTAAATTGGTTCAAGAAGTAGTGTCATTCGACGCTTTTAATTACTACTGTAATTTTGGCTTTAAGCTAAACATAATAATATTGCTGCATTTAAGCAGGCCATATGTCAAAGAAAAGCAAAACATAAGTCGCAAAATTCCATTATGTAGGGCAGTATTAAAAAAAAGTAAGTAACAAAAATGCGTTTGAAAGAGCCACCTAAGCGCCGATCGAATAGAGCGCGTTAAGGCGGGCGCAGTCAAAGGGAGATGTATCTAACGAAATACGCAGTTCGGTGCAACGATTGCGCATCTACAGTGAACGGTTACGCAAGCGGCCCAGTTGCATATCGTTGGATGCACCTGCGATGCCCGACACGGTGGAGCTCCCCTTTGATCCATTGTGGAACGGCGCAGCCGTGATAAGCACTTAACCACTTCTCGACATGCTGTCCAGTTTCCCCGCACATATACGGCTGTTGTATAGATATTGTCGACAAAAGCTTGTGAGAGAAATTTTAAACTAAACCAACCTACATAAGAATGTAAAACAAAAAGTTGTGTAGGCAATTTTCGGGTACATCACGGCAGAGCCGGTTTGGGATGCAAAAGCGTAAACCCGATGGGAGCTTGGCTTTTCATGTTCAGTCTGCAATAAAGCGCGATGCTAATTGTTTGTAATAACAATGTTGGGCCTCATGGATACGTCTCCATGTGAACCGTGACCCAGCATTGTGTCGGGGCGGTTTATGAACGCCGCTCACGCAACTGTCTAGGTCGCGGTGGAACATTGCCGGTCGTGTTCGCAGTTGTAATATTTTGACACTTGCGGTGTGAAAAACAGCGGAGTCTACGCTCGGCTAAAATGTTTACGGTACATCCTCCAAAGGCGAATCGTCATACGTCATTGACGTCATTTCCGCTCAAAACGTAAATTCGAAGCGTAATCAAAGCGAAGAGTTTGGTTAAATACACCCGTGTGATGTCCTTCTGCTTCTTTCTCGCTACGCGTTGTACAAGTGCAATTTACCGATAGGAGTTGGTGGTGCGTTTACGTTTTTACTAATTTTGAAATTATAATGATACGCGAGATCTTCTCACATTTGCGCTAGCAGCAATTACAAAGCACTCGTTAACGTGATAAAAGAACGTTTCTATTTGCATTCTTAAAACAGTTGCGTGCTGCCGAGCCGAAACAGAGCAGCTGTCCGCAAATCATATCATCTGCAGTGCGGATACAACGCCAGAGCGCAGAATCTTTTACCTACTTACCTTAACATGACGTCTGTTCTACGTCAGCTTTTAAAAGTTTATTCTTTTCTTTTATTGTAAGGATATATTAGGATTATTTGTTTTACTTTTCAAATATTTTACTTATACACACGAAAATTCATTTCCATCAATCTATACTTATTGATATTAAACGTAAATAAATATGGATAAATAAAACAGTCATACCAAAAATAAATGTTCAGCGTTCATCTTCCCTATCTATCGCTAATAGAACATTTCGCTGTAAACAGTTAGCATTTTAAAAGCCTGCAACCCTTTGAACGCTTAGCGTGTCTTTGAATGGAGTAAAGAGTATTCATTTTGCATTTAGCTGGTTCGGTATACTGACTAGCGGAGGCGCTTTTGCAAGACCCCGCTCGAGCGGAATAACGGAGCGTTGAAAGCAAATTTACTTTTAAGATCAAAGTGAAGAAAGGTCACGATGTAATATTTTCTTAAGCTGGGATCAAGTTCGATGGAGCGTTCTTGCAGAAACGTTTAGAAAGCTTCTCTTGATAAAGTTTTATCGTGATTGCACCTCCCTTTTAAAGGAACCTGAGGGGATTTAGTTGAATTATGTGAAGGTAAGTTAGGAATTCCCGTGTGTGTTAGTTGAAAAAATATATTCTCAACTATTCAAAATTTATACCGTAATATCGTTATATTTATGTAGTAAAAAATAAATTTACATAACCAAACTCCACATTGAACAATAATAATTTTACCGATAAATTGTGATATTTAAGTTGCGGGAATAAACATATTTTATAATATTACGTAAATTCATATATCAACTAAAATCGCTACAAGCCTTAAGTTCATATTAACTTAGTTATTACATGATCCGCTTTGTAGAAGGCCTAGAGAGCCAATTTAATTTCAGTATTATACCGATTCGATGCTTGAGAAACTCTTGTGGATGACATAACAATAGCTTTGATGTTAGTCTTCATAATTTCTTTGACACTTTAAAACACATCAATAGTGTAAATAAATTATAAAATGAATTTATAACGATTTCAATATTTATTAGTTATAAAGTCACTACAGTTACGTAGTGAAAGATTTTTCTGCGAATCATATTTAAATATTATTTACGGTCATTTAATATTTCAAAAAGAACAAGGTTCCTCAGGAGATTGAAATAAACAAGTTTAGAACTAGATAAATGGATAAAATTTACATCATCAGTTTACATCATGTGTAAATTGAGTTTGGATATTTTTCAATTTATATTGTTTTTTACATTAGAATTGAGATAATCAGTATAAATTATTTTTTTAATTTGAAGATACTTTAATATTTCAAATAGGCAAAAAGTCATACTAAATGTGTTCCTACATAAAGCAATCATAATTACTTTTCATTGAAACTGGCTTTTAAAAAAATGTTAGATGTTTCCCATTCTAAATCCGTGTCGGTTTAAAAATATTCGAAGGAAAGCTTACTTTAAATTTATCCCTAATTTTCGTCAAGAGCTATTGTCTGGGTCAAACTATTTCGGGACGTCTAAGTCGAATGAATCCCGAAAATAGATATTATACTACAGAACTGTAATGTTAAAAATTGAGAATTTAAACCATTTTTTGTCATTAACAAATTATTGACATTAATCGTTTGCGAATACCCATGAAATTTTTGTTTTCATGAAAACATCAGCTGTCATGAAACAAATAAATAAATAAAAATATCACATATACTATTTGTATATATGTATAAACGGACATGGGTATTCCATTTCGGTTTATATACCTATACAAATTTCTGTTTATATATAAAAACATTTTTTGGATTTATACACAAAGAACAACACAAAGGTTAAATACAGCTGTTAGTTGAACATAACTCATATTCACAAAGCGGAACAAAAAAAAAGCTAGCAGGAGAACAATAATTGTAATTAATATTATAGCAATGACGCTTAAACTTCATTATTAACAGCATCGGGTAATTCTATAGATTCACATTCTCCGGGTACTTTTTACAGGAGAAACTTGGTTTTAAATAATAAACTTCAGTCCATTTCTTTTAGTTATAAACCTATTCTCATACATACTCAATATACATAGAAGAGGAGTATAAACAATTATCTTGTTTCAATTTTTTATGTTTGAATGATTACAATTTCACAAATAACAGTAAAATTCAATTTTGTTTAATCCATTCATCGAATTGTCTTTGAAGAAGGAAATTTACAACATCTACAATCGTTTTATACTTCCCTTCCTTAACAAACTTGAAATCTTTACTAAAGCTGTAGCCGTTTCACGAAATTGCATCAAACAGAACGAAGCTACTTAAGTAAGTCTCGATTAACAAAGGGCAGTGGAAGTCTTTGTTCCATTATTGAATAACGGAAGACTAAAAATTTAACTCAAAACGAGGCAGCACTTTTCCATTTAAAAAACTTTGCCTTCCTTCTTCCGTTTCGACGTAACTTTCCGACTCAACATTTCCATGAAAAGACTCAGCACATTACTTTGCGGAACTGTTTGCTGCTTTTTCAATTCAATCTTCACCCCTTAATTTTTATTAAGCTCGTTAAAAGTGACACCGAGGTTCCAAGAGGAGCTCGAAAGAATCTTCTTTGAAAAAGTCATCCCTTTTTTTATGACGTTGTTAATATCTTAGGAATTGAACGAAATCTTATAGATTGTATATTCTTTTATTAATTTTACAAGTTACAGGTTTCGTTTTTAGGATTCCGTAACCAAAGGGTAAAACGGGACAGCGGAGTCTTAGTAATAAGAATCCGCCGTCGGTCTGTCCGTCTGTCCGTCTGTCATCATGCTGCATTTGATGAACCGTTATAGTTAGACAGTCCAAATTTTCACAGATAATGTATTTCTGTTGCCACTATAAAAACAAACACTAAAAATCAGAATAAAAACATTTATAAGTGGGCTCCTGTACAACATGATTATGATACATGATTTTTTTGCCGTTTTTATCGATAATGGTACGGAACCCATCTTGCACGAGTCTGGCTCGTACTTGGCCGTTTTCATCATCTTAACAAAAGTTAATGCACCCTTACGAATGCATACTTATGAGAACATTAGGGCTTTTATTCAAAATTCTATTCTTAAATATCTGTATCAAGATTCATTTTAGTTTTTAGTAGCAACACCTTCAAATCTTATTGTCTTTAAAAAATTGGGAAATCACGAAACTCATTTTGTTTTGCTCAAAGCAACTATCAACACATTACTGTAATACATTGCAGTTATAATAGTAAACGCATTACCGCCTCGCAAATGCTAAGGTGATGACTTGATGTTCAATTGTTTCAAGCAAACACGAGGCCAGCATACTATTTACTCTTCCATCTGCAGTCGTCAGAAGAAGACGGAGTTACGTTGTTCATATCAGCTGTATCTACATTACCAACTATATTATCACATGTCCTGCGCGTTTATGAATCTTTTAAAAAACCCAGTTGTTTTGACGTCATTCTCACTCATTTGTCTCGTATGTTAATTGAACCATTTATTAACTATACATCATATTCAATGAGCACCATTACTTTTGTTGAAAATATTGTCGTACACAATAATTTTTATACTAGATAATGTTACCAATGATATTTTATACTAGTAAGTATAAATTATAATAGGTAATACGCGATTAAAAAAACCAAGGATTTTAACATAACAGTTTTTCTAAACTTAAAATAAAACGAATCGCGTCATTGAACATATCACGTGTTAAGGAAATTTGTTTTATTTGAAATGAACGTGTCGTTATTTGCATCCTCACCGGATGATGTGTTCGCTGTGTACTTTCTAGGGTCTATGTTTATGTGATTTCACCGATCACGGGGGCAGTGAATTGACCAACGTTATCGCAGGCCATCTCAATAAATCGACTCTATAACGTTCACTCCGCGGGAAACAACGAAATGGCGGCGGCGCAAGCCAAGTGCTTTGTGCCGTGTCCGATCTTGTCACTCCGTGTCACAACGCGCCGGAGCTATCCCACGCCGTTCGTTCGCGCGTTGTGTTTATTGTGATTTTCCAAATCCGCATTACGTTCAGCGCACTCGGTTATTATTAGAGGAACCTTATTTTAGAGGTTGGATGAAAACGGCCCCGAGTATCGGTGCGTGAAACGATCGTAAATAAAATGTAAGCATCCAACCTGTCGATGGAATATGTTCGGCATATTGAAATACTTAGCATATGTTAAGCGTACTTAGCTAATATAAAAGGTTGTATATTAATTGTATATAATTTAGTATGAAAAATACCAGTGATGAAATATTTTCCTTCATATTAAAAAAACATTACAGATTATTATATAGATTTCTGGAACCATGGCTTGACAGTTTGTTACAAAACTCTAGAAATTGCCGTTACGTTATTCGTCTCACTTTCAGTTGGATTTATTCCCAAGCACTTGAATTACAATTGATACTTGACCTAGACACTTTTAAATCTCCGTTAGTAATTGTTTTTTGAATATAATCGAGACGAGATAATTGATTGAAGCTTTGAAACCGTCCACGGTAAACACATATCGCTACACACTCGCCAACACAATTGAGGCGAAACCGGTCTGTCGTCGTTTTGTTTAAAACCATCGCCGATCGATTCATTTCCGTCTTATTGCTTCCAATAAATCAAAGTATCGCTGAGCTTTTACGATGGCTCGCGCAAATTTATATTTAGATGAATAATTTCATCGACGGTTCAAGATATGCATGTGTTACTCAAATTTTATCACATCTATATATTACCGTTGGCTAAACAAAGTATGGATGACCAAAATCTACCATACGGAGGGTATTTAGTTATTCTATATATAATGTCTACATATAAAAACTGCTTAGCATTTTTCTGCTTTAAACCTTATTCATAATTAAGTCAGTGACTAGCATTCGAAATCTTTCGTAACTATAGATTAATTCCGAAGACCGAATAAATCATATCTATTTATTACAAGTCTTTATTACATGAAAAGTTGCAGTTCATTTGAATTTTGAGGTGGCAGAATAATATTAAATATAGATATTAATCAATTAATCAATGACACAATATCAGTAGTCATGAAATTCTATTCTGAAAACATCATCTAACAAACCTACTTTTAAACAAAATTAAGACAAACTATGTAAAATTTATATAATTGCAACTAATGAAGTATAACTACTAATAATTGCAACTAATGAAGAAATCGTGAGGAATTTCCGCTTTAAATAAAGTGGCCGCTAGCCCGGGAGATAGTTTCGAAAAGTTTTATATAAGACTTGGAGCAAAATGTAGAGCAGATTATTTCTTTTCTCTTGTAGATCTCCTTCCTGAGGCGGTTCTTTCGCTGCGATGAGCTTACTTTGTACCACAATATTTCCCGCTTCAAGCTGTTCTTAAAACTTCTTTCTTTATTTTTACTCGGGCCGACATTGTAGGATGGTAAAATATGATAACTAGTTACGAAAGCACAAAACATAGCCGTGCAACATTAAGTTTGGGCATTTCCCGGGCTTAACACTTCGTATTAACGCTAACTCAATAACTATACGAAATTTTATAGTTTATGTCGATGTTCAAGTTATTAAACATATCACGTTATTATAAAAGTGAACACTGTGTGTATAATTTATAATAAGCTGAAACGATTGGCGTTTCGCAAGAACCGCACTAGTTGTTGAAGCTACGAAATGTTAATAGATTTTCAGTAATCCGAAACCGAAAAGTCGTTACCGGGAGAAGCTCCCAAGAGTGGGACATTCAGCACGTCCGGGTCGTCCACTTCGCTCAGAGAGTGCTTTACCCACCGGGTACTCCGAACCACTTTTCGATGCTAATTGGCGTATCGAAGATAGCACTAATACGTCCGATGTCTAATCACGCCGCAACAGCTATGGAGCCGAACGGAGTGCTTCGTTTATAATCCGTCGACTTAGCTATTTTATTCCTTCAAAAATTTGTAGAAAAAATTATCGTTAAGTTTCTCGCCGCCGCGGGAATCCAACCCACGTCTTCCGTCGACAGACGCTCTAACCACTTAGCCAAACATCTGATTGCCACGCAGACGAAAATCTCAACTTACTTTATCTACGTTGTTTTTTCGCATATTAAGCAATGCTTGCCGCATCTATTGTCACTTCCTTAACATCACACAAATAATTTCAAATTACATTTTACAACCATAATTCGAAAGAGGTATACAGCGTGTCTCTACCACCGCGACAATAAATGAACACACGTCTAACGCTACTTGCCAATAATCATAAAAAAAATATTAACGTTAAAAAAGTCCATAATTTAAGAATTTTTTTTTTTTCAAACAAACTAATTAAGTAAAAAAGAAACAAAAATTGGAACATCCTATATTCATAAGATTATACTAAGATTCATACATTCAGAGACTTTTTCATTCGTTGCCACAGCGCCGCATTGCAAGCCTCTCCTTCTAACAGTATGTTTGGTCTCTTTTAAATTTATTCAACCCATTCATATGCTTTGTGACCTTTACAAATGAACTTTACATTAGTTTTATACATAAGGATGTTCTAAAATTCTTCGTTTTGGAAAATTTGATAACTCGTTAAATATTGATGTTTAAAGAATACAAGAAGAAGAATCTTTAGTACAATTTTAAAAAGTTATCCGCTATATGTGTGTTCATTTATTGTCGCGATGGTAAAGACGCGCTGTATATATGTTAGGCCAATGTTCAGCGGGGGACTCGAAAAGGCTGAAATGATGATCATATTATGTAACACCCGGATTCGAGCGTCTTCTTTAGGGTTTAAAATATATTTTAACATACATACACAACTTTAACTTCATAAGATTCTACCTAACATTCCGCAATGGTTTGCAATGCAATACCCGTTTAAAGCGGTGTATGCAGTGAATTTTTAACTATTTGGGTGGTGAAGCGGGGGCAGTGGTTTGGGGCTCAATGTGGGACATAAATAAGGATGTAATAAAATTAAAAGTCTCAATAATAAATAAATACGGAACATATTTCGTAACGATGAGCGGACTCTGTTCAGCGTGCGGAAATGAAAGAGAACCGAACAACGCCGCGGCGGCGCTTTGTTTTGGTTGTCGCATTCGAGTTAATATTTATAAATTAAATTAATAGTTACGAATATCTTACTTCAATCAACAAATTAAGGCAAACGTCCTATTCATTAAAATATTCTACACAACTGATATTAATTTTATTAAGATTTGTTACGTTTTTATTTGGATTGGAATTTTACTTATAATTTAAAAAATATATTGAGAATATGTTTAGAAAACAATGGGACATTCGAATGTAAGAACAAGATTAACATATTTTTTGCTGTTATAAAATGTTCAGATTTTGTTGAAAATACGTTTGAAAACCCTATTTTTACGGCATACAGCGCCTTAACTCATTTTACTTTAATTTATTTTTGGTTTGGTCAAGTCGGAAAATTAGGCGACCGTTCCCCTTGTAATGATTAGAAATGACAATTTACAAAGTTTCTTCGCGATACAAAGAATCTTTGGATACATATATTAATGTATTTTTCATTGTTCCAGGTCTTTACCAAAGCTATTCAACCCAGAAGAGGAACAATCTCGCCCGCAGCCAGGTGGGGTTGTCACCTTCGAGCCAATACAACACGATCACGACTTCTGCGAAAGAGTTGTGATAAACGTAAGTACTAAAAATTGATTTTCTTTTTTTTTTACTACTTAAAACTAGATTTCACACAGATAAAAGTATGCGGGCATGAGATCCAGCGTTCGAAAGAAGCTTATTCACTAATGATGATGAATTTCGTTTTTTTTTCCATCAAAATCATTGATGCTGCATAAATAAACTCTGCAGACAAGAAAAAAATATTTTCTAATATTGGTCTTCAATTTTAGCTTAGCTAAAGCCAGATAAAGTCCTGGAGCGATTTCGTTCTAAAATTAAAAATGTCTCACGAATTACGCACTGTACAGTGCAGTTTGTTTGACAAGTTCGAAATACGCCACAGGTCGTAAATAGCGACAATTAAGTTGGGCCGTTGTGCGAGGTATTTAAGGCACTCAAGGCGGAGGTGTTTACTAGGTGCCTTTGCTAACAACTATTTAATGGCTCCATGAACAAGCGAAAGTTTGGACGAGGCACGTAGGGCTTATTAACTATTCGCGGTGCAATTTTGGTCGCGTTATAACGATAACAGAACATAGACATAAACACACGTATTATTTTCAGTTTATTCATACATGATTAAAAGAGGGTATGTTCAATGTCGCCCATATTTATGTAAAAGATACTTATAACATTTATGACGGTCAGTACTTACAGAGTAAAACAACGCCGTCCTTTAAAAATGTACATACGTTATAAAACCGAGACTTTTTGTTCAGTGTAACGATGAAAAATATTAAGATAAAAATATGTATGTAGAGAAGTTTGCTGGATAGGAAAAATGTTGCTTCCCGCTAATAAAAAAATAGGAAAGCTCTTTTTAAATAGCTCATTTTGCTCTTCTTACATACACTTAACCTTTGAAAGCCGAACAATAAAACGAAATCTTTTTGCTCTACACGGTTTACAGTCTTGGTACAATTTATTTTGTTGGTGATAATATAAATATTGGCCTTTAGTTGCATTATAAAACAATGATTATTTAACTGCAGCTTTGGGTATAACATCTTTCTACCATGTTTTTGATGTTAACCTACTAATATAGCCTAACATTCGAATATAGCACCGTCGACACAGCATTGCGTTAAATCGCCATTACTGTTCATCCCCGAAGGCTGAGTGGAGTGATGTTAAATTAGGCTTTTATTAGAAGTTTAAGAAGCACGAGCACACGCCGTGTCCGCGGCTTACAAGATCTTTGTAGAGCAATAACCGTAAAGCTGCGGTAGTTCCATTTCGCGCTCCTTGCAAATTGCAGCGACCGAATCACCGACTTTACAGCGATACTCGGAGCTACAAAACATTGCGCGTGCTTTCTTTAGAATATCCACAGTATTTGTATTTGTATAACTGATGTTACGCCTTCAGTCCTTAAAGAATTAAAGCTCCATCGAACGCAGAACTGGTGGGCTAGCCAGAACCTACGGGTTTGGGCCCTCCGCTGTGGGTAAGGCCGCGAATGTGCTCATGCGTGCGTTTAACAATGGTATGTCATCTAAGGGCCATCGAGGTTGCGGTTCGGACCGCGACCTCGATGGCCGTCGAATGTGATGTTAGCTAATCGGTGGCTGGGGACAGTGATGTTGTGTTGGTCTCGCCGTGCTCGGAGGCGAGGGCGAACTATTGTTTTGTTGTTACCCTAGCTGTGAGTGTAGTGTTATCTGGCGGGACCCACGACGGTGGGTCCGACATATCTAAGTCCCTTTCCTCAACCGGGTCGATGAAGACGTTCCGCGGGCGACGCTTATTGACGTTCACTTTTGTGTCGGGTTGGTAATTTGCTGCGCTTACCACCCGTGAGTTGGGATGATGTTCGGCTCTATCGAAGAACCGTTTGGACAGGTCTTTAAAATATTCGTAATTCGAGTCTGCAATCGTTGTGAAGGTCGACGTTGCGTTGATACCACTGCGCACCGGTTGCGCGGCGGATGAACTTATTTTGTACTATTTGCAACTTGTACAAGCGAGCAGGGTGCCTGTGGGCGAAAGTCATGCGTGCGTAGGACATAATAGGTCGTACGCAGGTCTGATATTATAATAATTTGTGCTTTAAGGACATTTTACTTTTATCGTTAGTTAAATTGTGTACCCGGCCGGAGACGTACGCGGTCTATTACGAAAATTATTAATGTGCGTAGTAATAGTAAATGACATAAGTACGCGAGAATACCCACAGTGTAAACTTTCGAGGTGTATCGATATGTTGCATTTCAAAGTAAGCCTCAAAGGTCATTCCTGCTTTTGATTCGATCTACCACAAGCGCCTTTACGACTATAACAGCTCTAAGCGAACTTCGAGGCTCGATATCTTCTATTCTGAAATCACTGAAGTGATATGATTCGAAACAGTGTTACAATGTTAAAAACTAATGTAACTTAATGTTCTATCGATTTTCCACTTTACTAGTATCCTAGAAAATCGATAGAATGTAATAACATGCAACAAACGCAGACTTTTAATTAGACCACTCGCTTTTATTAGGATCGATAACCCGTAGTTTTAACATTCTGACGAAACCTTCTCATTTCTCAATATGATTAAGCATAAGGACAAAACTTTAATATCATTTATTGGGGTCATATGCTTACACTCTTCATTTTAGATTATTTTTATTTATTAAATTATAAAGTCCATTTGAAAAATCACCTGATATACGTTATAAGATAAGCTATATCTTATAAGATAAAACTGGATAATTACAACATGTAACGCATTGTTCCATTGCCTCTTACTAAGTCACAGACGGAGTTATGAAAAAGGAACGCCTATAAAATTATCTAACTAAAAATAGTTGGACTTGAGAATGAAATTGTATTCGTGGCAAGGTTGGGCTGAATGCAGCGCGTCGCGGCAACGAGAGGGCACCGGCGGGCCCCTCAAGATGTACCACTTTTGAAAACATCGCGAAACCCGATGGAGTACGTTACAAAAATAACCGCTCTAAAATTAGACGGACCTATCTAAAATTATTCGCGGCGTGCATATTTATTGAGCTGTTTGGGGCGGACGTTTCTACATTTATATCGGGTTAACAGAAATCTCCTTTTCGCGCTGATGTTGATCACAAAAATAAAGCTCTCAAGGTTGTCCCGGACACAGTAAACAGAGATATTTCGCTCGGCTTACTAGTTCGAAATGACGACAGATGCTCATCTTTAACACGGTACCCAGGGGACACATTCTTTTCCACGTGAATAACCGCGGCAACTGAACTAATAAGTAATTTTGATTAGATCTCACTGGAGTATTGGAATATACGAACGATTGCAAGTGATAGTCTCTTAAAATCACCACAGCAAAAAATATTTATCTAGTTATCTTTTAATTTATTGACATTTGAGTTAAATCCGAGTTATATATAACTTTATCGGTCAAAGACACCGTGAATGCAATAAGCGTAGACGTAATTAGATTAAATGTTTATAATTCATCCGGTGTCAGATTAGTTTTACGCGTAAAGTGTGTGTCCTTACTATAGCGATTGCGCATTCCGGCTCGAAATACAGCGAGGAGTAATGCCACGAATCGAAATTATGCAATTCCCCGTTGTATATTAGTACCACCCGCAGACATTGACACCGATCGCGGAGCGTACGCCGCCGGCCGGCCTGAAAAGTGCGCCCTGGAAAATTTACAGAGAGCCCAGCCGGGCCGTACGCGCCGCGCGCGCGCATTTCCACTGAACGCAATAAAAACTTTAAAGGCAGGAACCATTCGCGGTTGGATTTACAACGTCGCCTCGTCGGTGTATTAATTATAAAATCTCTTCATAAAATCGCCGAATCGCCGGATCGGCGTCGGCGTCCGACTGCACTACGCACCTCGGCCGCCCTTGGTGAACGCACAATAAAATGTATTTTTGGACCGATCCATTGCCAACCGCGAAGCAACATCCGCGGCGAAAGAAATACCGCGTGGAGCACCGTTGGGCTCGTGGCTCGTAAATTTAACTTTTACGCCGGCCGCGTGCATGGGGTCGCTCGCAAATATTCGCACGTCGCGGCCCTAGATGGGTCTGGTCGCCAAGAGCAATGCAATAGGCCGTCGGCGTTACGGGTCGACTCTGACACTGATATTTCAATGACCTAAATTCAGCAACGGTAGTTATATTTTTGCATCTACTAAGTGAATTGGATTTAAAAATTCCCTACTATTCGAGCCTTTTTCATGGTCACGGGACAGACTCTCCGTCCCGTGTCCCGTTCCCGTATCATTTAACAATGTATAATATTTACGCAAAAGAAGAAATCTACTGAGTATTCACCACATGCCCATGTCTTCGAAAAAATTTAAAATATGAATGTTTTACAATCGGCACTCCCATATGGAAGTTACATAAACAAAAAAAAAATAGGTACCTCAAAATTTAGTCTTCATTGTGGTAAAAAACTGATAGATAATGAGACATGCATGGCAGATCAGAAGAATTTTTTCTCAAGTTTCGTGATCATGAGCAATTGGATTGACCAATTTGATCTAAAAACCGTACAGCAAACAAGCACCTGAAAGCGACTCTTCCAACGCCGAAGAAGGTTATGGCATCAGTTGCTAGGTGCAATTCAAGAAACACGATACTAACTGAACACCCGCCCTAATTGCCACTCCTATTTCTCCGATCAGGGAGGACCTTCGTAGCAATAAATATAAAGATGTTGACGTAGCGTAATATTTCTTGTCTAGGAGGTTTGAAAAAAAGAAGACTAAAAATTAAAACTTGTTAGGAGACCATGTTGACCATTAGTTTATATTCATTATCCGTAACTTTTGTTGTCGTAACTTGTCATATCACCCTTCTTATTAATATAACACGGGTACGAGACTTGATTCTTGTATTTAAGTCAGTGCATCCACTTCGTTTTGTCATACTTCAGTAATTTCCAAGAACTTTTTTTTTTATTTCCTATATTACCTCGCGCTATGGTAATTTAGTACCGGGCACCTAAATCTGCGTATTATTTTAATACTAACAAATATAAATATTATAAAAAATTCCCTGATGCCAGTATCAGAACTT